CATATTATTCAAAATGAATGTATAATATCCCAAAGACTAAAAATATTTCATTAGATAATTTTTGATTATAAAATAAAGCTTAAAGAAATAGGTCTATTTTTCTATCTAAGAGTTTTAAGTATCTTCTGAGAACTACCACCTAAAATGTTCAAATATAGAATCATAGAAAAGTGGCAAGAACATCTCCACTCAAGGTTCAGGGAACATCACAAATGAGCAGGAGGAAAGATTGTAAGAGCCAGACCTTGGTGAAGACTGCTAGGAAACAGTGTCTTCTGGATATGGCCCACTCATTGTCCCCATAAACTTACCTACCGCTGTAATCACCTGCCTGAGCCCTGCACAAGACTGGTTCCACCACCATTTGTCATATGTGGAAAGGGACTCATGAGTCCCCCTCTTCATCAGAAGTCTATTTTTAAAAAGACATCAGAGAAGAAAGGGGAATTGCTGGGAAGAAAGATTTCAGGAAGAGAGATGAAGGAACAAGCAAAGGAAATAGGGGATGAAAATGGCCCCAACTCAGTATATACATATACAAAATCCTGAACTATAATACCCAGCTATGAAACCTATGTGCTATAAAAACAACCTGCCAAGCAACATCTATGCCCACCTGTGCAATAGTGGCATGACCCACAGGGGCAACCAATTGCTCTCTGATTAGCTTCAAGGTCAGCTTCACAGGAGGAAATCCATGACTGACCCTGTAAGCCCCATGACCAATAGGGAGGCCATAGGCCCAATGAGGGAACTTCCTATTATTATTTAATTAAATTGATGTAGCATTAAACTGTCTTCTAAATATCTACATTTCTGCATATAGACAAAAGCTACACTCAGCTTTAACCAAAAATACTTCTCTTTGCAGTGAAACAAGGAGATTACAGAGGGACTCGGCTGCCCAAGATGCTAAAGAGTGACCTGACCCTAAGCAAGACATTTATATTATACCTCTAAGACTCAGGAGGGGCTGTAGAGGGACTAGGACTAATGGAAGACTTGGAAGATACGATAAAGACTACAAAATGATGTCTTTTGGACATAGCCTAAAAATTGTAGTCATGAACTCACAACAGCTGCCATTACTTTCACTGAACCTTTCAAAGACTGGCTCACCTACCAGTGATGGTTGAGGAGAGGACTCATGGGTCCCTACCCCTTACTTTCGAGCTACTGACTATTGATAGGCTCTGGGAGATGTGGAGTCATTGTGTTTGTCTTTAGCTGGGTACCCACTGCTGAGCCCAGCATTGCTCCAGTCGATAGCTCTAAACACATGGTCCCAGGTTCAAATTTAGGGGGTCACAAACCAAAAGAAATAGGCAGGAAGGTGGGAAAGAGATTCGTAGGGGAAAATGGAGTTGAGAGGAGTGGAGAGGAGTTATAAGAGATAGAAGTGCATATCACTAGTATGTAATTATTGTATCTCATATACATACATATATATGAAATTGAACAAATTTAATTAATAAAAAAGATAAAATAATGAAAAGAAAAACAAACAAATAGCATTCCTTTCTACCCCTCCATCTGCCATCAATAGCTCCTTAGTTGATAGAGTTGTCTTGGTGTCTTTGACATTTCTTTCCCTTTTGGAAGCAGTTTCTGCTAATTTTATGAACCACAAACTCTTTTATTAACTCTAATACTCACAACTTTTCACATTAGAATGGATGATGTAATGTAGTTTAAATAGCAAAATAGCCGTCAGTTTTCTTAGGGGTGTATAAAGTGATCTTCCAGCCGTTGACCTGTTCAATTCAAAGTCCTGTGGTAATTGCTTTGGGCCTCCCACTTTGGACAGCAGCCAGATGCCCTTTGGAGACCAGGATGGAGTGGCATGGCCTACCGTGCTCTTTCCCTCCATTTTCCACCTGACCCAGACAAGCTGCCTCTCTGAGGTGGCAGATGAAGGAACCGTAGCCCTCTCATGAAAAGCAGCAACTGAATAGCAAAAGCTGTGGCCAGGCCCTCAGCCCCTCTTACCCTGAGGCTTTGCAGGTCCTGGGAGGGCTGGGAATGCAACAACCTAGTGACCTTGTAAAACAGAGGGCCTCCCTGTGTTCTCAGGGCTCTGGTTGCAGGCAGCAGGCACCAAGTCCAGTGGGATTTTCTAGAAGGAAGTCTGGTGCTGACACCACCTCTGGTGGAATTTATTAGAAGGAAATCTGGTACTTATAGAATCAACAGGAGGCAGAAGGAACAGTCTATAAAAGAGCCATTGACCAAGAGAATCCAGACACGGGCCCTCAGGAACAATCTGGCCAGCGTGTCGGGTGTTAATGCTGTGACATCTTGATGACCCTAAATGTATCCTAGTTGTCTCCTCCGCTTTACCTCCAAAAGACAAAGTGTGAGTTGGGAACATCTAGTCTGTCTGCCGAGGTCTTGCTTTTATCCTGTCTCCCTGGCTTCAAAGGATGAAAGGACTGGTCCACTTGTCACCAACACAAAGTTGCTCAGGGCACTATCTTCTAGACAGGAGATTGTGATATTATATTCCCAAACAATGACAAACCTTCCACTAGACTCACTTTTGAATATTCCAATTCTGTAAGGCTAGAAGGGCAAGTCAGATAAAGGCCGTGGCATGTTAAAATTGGCTGACCTGGCTTTATCTGAATCAGGGATTAGCAGAGGAAGCTAACTCTTCCAGAGCTCACACACGGGGCAGGCAGTCCTCTGCTGGGCATGTCACGTGTTGTCACTGTATAAATGCTATAACTCTTGAGCCTTTCAGAAAGTCTCCAAAAGGAACAGTAGTTGACAAAGAGTTTTTTGACCAGGGGAATGACTGTGGCAACTGGGGGTGGCAGAACATGGGTGCTAAATGAAATCATGTGTCATTGTATGGAGAGAGACCCTAGGATGGACACAGGTAACTAACTTCTTCGACTCATTTTACTTTCTTGTATGAATCCAGCTACAGGAAACCACACAGGGGTGGTAAAGGGTTTTTTCCCCTTCCAATCTCTAAGGAAATGTAACTGGGAGTGAATAAGAGGCCCAAGTCATATATCAGTAGTCTGCAGAGGGTCTACATAAATCCTTTTCTTTAGAGTTATTGAACTGTTTTGAAAACGGTCTCAACAGAAGTTATTCCAAGTGCGCCAGAAAGGAAACCAGAGTCTTAAAGAAAAATATACTCACTTTGCTGAGCAAGGCAAACTATCAGTATTCGGAGAAACAAGCCGGCCTCTTGTGTTATACTTCCTCAACGAATTCACTGAAATGCTTACTTTATGTCTTTAAAAGGCTGATAGACAAGGAATTTTGTGGCCACTAAAAATTAATACCTACAAATGGTTCATAACCACTTCAAAAAGGTGGGCACTTTACATTTTTTTCTCTGTTGTTTGTAGTTCTTTATTGCGGTATTTTGCATATTGTAAACACAGTACACATTTTTGTGCTTAAAAAATATACAAATTGAAAGCATACTCTCTGGGGAAGGGTTTTCTCCTATTTGAGGAATTAGAATGAGACGTTCCTGTGTACTTCTATGCATAAACTAATGGATTGTATCATAGCCCTTTTTATGGCCAAGAACCTCATAGAATAATATTTTTCCAATAAACTCTTCGTGACTTTCTATTGTGGTAGGCTTTTAAACTCTTCTTAGAACTAATGTTTAAAATGAAAACCTTCCTATCTGGGGAGACAAAAACGGGCTACTATTTAAAGAGGACTAATGCAGTCATTCGATGAAATGCCTCCAGTTTTGAGATCCAGTGAAGATGCAAAGTGTATAGATGAGGCAGCTCTACCGAAACCAAAATAAATCAATGTGCACCTTGACCTTTTGGTTCAGAGAATGAGAGAAGCCATGGCTATCATTTTACTTCCTCTAGACTTTTGTACAACTCAATTCCTCAATTCTCAAGGGTCACCTTCATGTGCCCTTTTCTTAGTGGCCATTTCTTGCTGGGGAAGCAGCCTTCCTAAACCAGAACACTGGCTCTTGTTTTCCTTGATAATGTGCTTTCTCCATGCTTGGTAAACATCTGTGATGCTATGTCTTTAGCATCTGCTGACATGGAGGTACCACAGGCTGGGGATCTTACACGAAATCTATGCCAATTTAGTAAATGAATGAGTAGAAGGTAAGAGAAGGAGAGATTTCTTTTAAATTTCATTAGAACCAATGAAATATGCTATGAAATTATATTACTAGAGTAAATGTAGTACTATATTCAAAGTCCCTAAGAACAGCTTTCAGTACTTTTTTTTCTCATTTTGTATTTGTTAGATTTTCCTGTGATACCTTACTCCCTAAAACTCCTATGTTTCAGTCAGTGATCCAGAGCACTCTTCTAAAGAAAGCAGGGGAGAAAGACCCATATTTGCATAGAGCAAAAAGGGCACTCTAACATCTGGCCTGGGCCCATTTGTGAGTGCTTGTTAAATTCGCATGAATCCATGAACTATTCTGAATTTGTAAATGCCAATTTGTATAGGCTGTTTTCTCCCAGACCAGTGGCATTGACTTTGGGGGTCTATCCCTGCTTGTTTACTTGCCAGTGGCATTTGACCTGGGGTTAGACCCGTATTTAACCCTTTCCTGTAGGTCAAAACCAAATTGATTTGGCAAAAATGAAATTGAAAATGAGTCATGTGTGCAGCAGGTGTCCCTTGCTCAGAAAGCTCTGCAGGTGGAAGAATTTTCAGGCCTGTTTCTCGGCCATCTCCAAAGAAGCTTCAGAGGTCAGGAAGGTAATCCCAAGACATCCCATGTGGTCAGGGTCTGGAGAGGAACAGAACAGGTGCCACTCTGCAATTTTCCCAGCAGGTTTGGGAACCATTCAAAGATGTCCATTTGGAAGATAATTTATTCATGTATTCATGAACATTTGTCTGGCACTTTCTGTGAAGTGATTTACTTCGAAGTTGCCCTAAACGACTAGAACTTTGCCCTTCACTCTACCTCCCACCATCAGCCAAAGACTTTGATTTTCAAAATGAAGTACATATTGTGTTTTTCTCTTTCTTCTTTCTAGAGGATGAGGAAGATGAAGAGATGGTAGAACCCAAAATTGGTCATGATTCTGAACTGGAAAATCAAGACAAAAAGCAGGAGACAAAGGAAGGTAAGGTGATGAAGGAAGGTGTGGTTGGCAGATAAGCTGGGTCATTACTTTGGTTTTGTTTTCTTTTATCAGACTAAGAGATGATAGAAGCAAACAAAGCTGAAGTTCACATGCTCTTTGTATGAGATTTTGTATGATGGCTTACCATTCAAAACAGACACTGGAATCACCAGATCAAGAACTTGTTGCTTTCAGGCTGACTGAAGCGAATAAAGTGGAAGCAACTTCAGTGTTAATCACAATTCCATTGAGTGATTACTAAACACAGAGATAACATGGGACAAACTCTCAGTTGCCATGTTACACCAGAAAAGATAATCATGAGGAAAAAGAGCTTCTGCAATTTATTTTATCAATTACTTCTGAAGTTTTACATATGCTCCACATAGAAACAGTAACAGCAATCATTACCGATTAAAGGATTCTTTTACAATTCTGCCCATGCGGGGACAAATAACCACATATTTCAGTTGTAATAGTTACTAACACTGGGGGGTTAGTTCAGTGGTAGAGCATTTTTTTGTAATGCTCAAGAGTGCAAGACCCTGAGTTTGGATCCCAGCACTGGAAGAGAAAGGAAGACAAAATAACAACTGTCATTGATTAGGGGCTTACAATATACTTACCTCTCCTCCAAGAAGGTGAAAGAACACTATCTACATCAAAATGTCCTTTGGAGGAGTATACTATCATTATCATTATTGTATTGGCAGAGAACTAAGAGAGAAAGAACTGCCCCAGGATACATAACATATAAGTGCGTTAGCCAAGACATAGGTTGAAGCTTGCATGAGCTAAGACTTAGGTTGAATCTCCAACCTGTATGTTATACCATAATGCCATCTTCATGACTTTTCTTTAGACATTTTTCTTTCTAGTTTACTATGTTAAGACTCTCAGACAAAGAGATTTTGAGTTGTCATTCTTACTGAAAAATGGCTAGAGGTCCCTGAAGACCTGGAAGCAGGCTTTAAAATCTTCTTCGAAATACCTAATTAGTCTTATCAATTACAGATCAGCATAAACCTAATAAGGATCTCAGTTGAAATTTAAAAATTTAAAAAATTTTAAAAATGCCCATGGCTCTGGTTTGGTGTGTGTCAAGTTGTTTTGTTTTGTTGTTTTGTTTTGTTTTGTTTTGTTTTGTTTTGAGACAGGGTTTCTCTGTATAGTCCTGGCTGTCCTGGAACTCACTCTGTAGACCAGGCTGGCCTCGAACTAAGAAATCCACCTGCCTCTGCCTCCCAAGTGCTGGGACTAAAGGCGTGTGCCACCACCACCAGGCCTATGTGTCAAGTTCTTGATTCAAGAGTTTCCTAGGAATGTATGTCTTGCTCCAATTGCTCGCATTCTCAGAGAAAAATCCACTTGGTCTGAATAGCTACCACAGTTTACATCCATGCACGCTTAATAGAAGTTTGTATAGATACGATGTGGGGACACTTCTTAACTTTTAAAAATTGTGTCCTGAGGTCGGGAGAGAAGACTAAATAGCTCAGAGCACTTGTTGCTCTTCCAGAGGACTTGAGTTGGATTCTTGGCATCTGCATAGCAGCTCATAGCCATCTGTAACTCCAGTTACAGAAGATCCAGAACCTTCTTCTGGCCTCTGTGAGTACTAGACACACAAGTAGTGCATAGACATATGTGGTAGCAAAATACTCATACAGACAAAGTGAAGATGAGTAAATCTTTTAAAAAGAGAGATAGAGATTAAAGAGTAAAAATTACCTCCTGCTAAGGCATATTTGAGCTCTGTATGCATGTTTAGTTTGGTCTTAATTATACGTATGCAAACTCGGTTATAGAAAAACCGGTGTAAAGTAATGAGGCAAAAGAAAGGGGTCCCTGGATCAAGTCTTGGCTCTGTCACTCATTAGCTGCATGATCTATAATGACTAACTTGGCTGATGTACCTTATTTTGGCTCTGGTTTCCTCATCTGGCAAGCAGAGATAATGCCTACCTCATGAGTTTGTTTTTTAATATAAGACTCAAAGGGGCTAGTATGGAAAAACTTGGCACAAAATAAGCACTGTAGAAATGTTTGCCAAATGATTATTTGTTGTCTTGCCTTACAGTACCAGGTCTGTAACTGTGCCCTACACATGATGTTACGGCCTTGTGTGCCCCAGTTCCCTGAGCTCAGGTTTGCCATAGCCCACAGCTTTGAAATCAAAAGATGCAAACTTTTTTTTTCTAACTGTTTTGGAGAGCCATTGGTAAGGTGATTACCATGCCCAGTTTCAGGCGTCTAGGAGGTGAGGTTCCAGGAATGACTGAGAACAAGTGAAAGACTCAGTGTCTTAACAGTTGCATCCACAGAAGGCATTGGCTTTACTGTTTTTTTTTTCTGAGAAACTCTAAACAGATTCCATAGAAGCGATTTCACATTTAAACCTCAACTAAAAACATCTTATTTAAAAAAGCAATGAAGTGAATGCCTTTAGCACAGGTACAGAAGCGACAAAATAAGCCAGGATCGATTGAAACACAACAGTTTCCTTTTGCAAAGCAGCTTAAAACATGCCCAGCGATATACAACCTCCAAGCTCTTGGTGGGCCTTGGCCGGGATTCACCCCTGCCATGCTACTCCCAACCCCAATCTCCAAACCCTATTCCCAGCAAAGCCAAGCACCTCCTTCTTAAGTTCCAAGCAAAAACACCCTTCAGTTTTAACTGTTCCCCGTGCTTTATGGAATTGATTAAAGCCACACTCAAAGTCAAAAAGAAGTTTGAAAGAACATTTCCTGTTGCCGCAGCACGGTGTGCCTCGTTCTCCATTAATGACATTTCTGCAAATTAGCACATAATGGGTTAAGAGCATGTTTATGTTAGCATCAAACTATCTGGGGTTTTTTCCCCCTCTCTCTCTAAGCAAGACAGTACTTTGCAAACCTTTAAAAGAATCTGTAGCAGATCTAATTGTGGCGCCATTCACAGAACTGCTGGAGGAGGGCTGTGTCAGCACTTCCAGGGAACCCTGCCTTTAGGGGACTCAGCCATGAAAATATGCTCTGGGTTAAAACTTGACATACAGTTTCAAACCAGGGAACACATTTTTGGGAAATCTATCTCTCCACCCCTCCTTCCTTTCTCTTTTCCTCTCTTTCTCCCTACCTCCCTCCTTCCCTCTCTCCCTTCCTTTCTCCTTCTCCTTCCCCTTCCCCTCCCCCCTCCTCCTCTTCCTTCCCTTCCTTCTTCTCCTCTTTCTTTTTCTTTTTCATGAAGAAAAATATAGTAAGACATGGAAAAATTCAATATGCATTAGGTTTTTTATTTGTTTGATTTTTACGTATTTCTCCATGTTACACCAAGATGCCTTGAGTATACAGAGAATAGTTTTTGATTTACTATTTTGCTATGTGCACTTTATGGCACAAAGAATATACAAAGTTGTAGGTTAGCTTGTTAACTTTTCATCAAAAGTTCGGAACACTCCACATGTCAGAGTCAGGTTAAGAGACTCAGAGTAAGAGGATTGGAGCCCTCACTCCTGTAAATTCAAAGGAAGCCGTAAGCCTCAAGTTAGCTTCCGAGCCGAATGTCTGTCTGTGTTAGTTTCATATGGTTCCCTGGTGCTGTTTATGAACTGATTGTACTGTAAAATTTCCATTAGGGCCATTTGCCCCAATTTCATCTCATGTTTTCACTGGCTGCATGGATTGCTTATTTTTATCTTTTAGATAGTCTTGCAAAACATCTTTTAAACACCATGTTTTTATATTCCAATGTAATGCTGGATTGTAAAAACAAGGCAAGCCATTTATAAAGTGGGTATTTTACAAATAAATGTAGACTTAAAATGAAATTAAGGGGCTGGGAAGTTAACTTAGTCAATAAATTATATGCAATGCATACTTGACCTGAGTTTGTGTTCCCAGCACCCATGTGCAAAGCCAGGGAGAGCAGCCCTTACTATTAATTCAGGCATTGGAGAGGCAGAGACAGCAGACCCAGGAGCTACATGTCCAGTCTAGACAGCTGATGATGTTGAGATTTTCTGTCTCAGAGATGGGAACAGGATTAAGAAAGACACCTGACATAGACTTCTGACTTCTGGCCTGCACACACACACACACACACACACACACACACACACACAAACACTGAAATTAAAATATTCGGTGTAAGTTGTGAACTTCACTATGGACATTTTGTCTTTGCAGAGGCAAATGTTCTAAGAACCCTAGAAACAAGAGAAAGAGGGTACAGTAAATGGAACCAATTAAAAAGAAGCTAAGTACATATTTGTAAGAAAAATCAAGAACCAGAAAAAGAAAGAAAACATAGTTGGCAGGATAGAACCATCTTAAAGAGTGCACGGAAAATGTAAGACTCCATATAAAAGACTAAGAGAAAATAACACTATATAACTAAACAATAAAAAGGTGACCCTAAATAAAGTTTGAACTAGATTTTAGTTTTGCAGGTCACATTTGCTTATATATTTTCAAAATGTTTATTTCGTGACTGTGATTCATAGATGTTATTCAGGCTAAATGTAACTGAGTAAATGTATAGATTATCTTGTTCTTTGGATACTATGTAAGTCATATACACATAGTCTCCTTTTCACACAGATTCTCCTCTTTAAAGAACACTTTAAATACATAAAGCATTGCGAGCCACCAGCTCCTGAAAGGAATTCTTTGTTTTATATTATGAAACTAAATAAAATATCATATAATCCATACCCACGTTTTCTCTGATGTGGTTTTTTGAAAAAAAAAATATATATATATATATTACACAGGTAGTAACTTTTTATTCAAGGCAATAGACTTGTAAGAAGAGATACAGGGTGAAATAGATGTGGTTCAAAAAGGTAAACAGAAAGTGGATTTTCTTGATTTTTCTTGTATTCGGAGGAAAAGGCTGGAGGGTAAGGGAGAGAGATCCTGCTACTTTGTTTGATCCCAAACAAGTCTTGAGCCACCTATGAACAATAGCCAAGGCTGAATATATATAAATATATGCATATTATACAGAGAGATATAATTCATTGGACTTATGGGACAGGCAAAAAGCAGCAGAAAGGTATTCCAAGGAGAGCTTGGCAGTGCATCTGATAAAAAGACACTGCTGATGGGATTTTTTTCATCTCTGTATTTAAATCATAGTGGATTCCATTAACTCATACTTTATTTTTCTGTCCGAGAGGTTTTTATTTCTTGGTGCCTCTTTTAACTGTGCATCCTGGGCACTCCATTAGTTTCTCATTTATATTGTAACAACACCAATTTAAATATTTTTTAAGCAATGGGAGATTAGTTTTAATCAAAAGTAGGTATGATTTTATGATTTTATTTATTTAATTTGTAAGTTGAATATTGTTTATGACTTTTTGAAAGCACTCATCTGCACATGCATGTTATTATTTTGTGCAAACAAATCATGTCATTTGATCCCTGTTAGACATCAAAGCTTAACATAAAGTGTATCCTTTGTTTTGGTTCAGTAGCAATTTGATTTCGGGCCAAACATTGTATTGTTAAGGATCCCGTCTGGAGAGGCGGCTGGTTCGCCTACCTGGACCCAAGCCTCTGCAAGGTCACTTTGATCAGCCATTTATGTTCCTCCCAGAGAAGAGGTTGTATGTCCTGAAAGCCGAGATCAAAGTGACAATAAGCTGTGAGGAAGAAAAAAATTACAGAAAATTACACAGATAGTATTTTTTATTCAAGGTAATAGACTTGTAAGAAGAGATACAGGGTGAAATAGATGTGGTTCAAAAAGATAAACAGAGAGTGGATTTTCTTGATTTTTCTCGTATTCGGGGGGGGGGGAAGGTGGGAGGGTAAAGGGAGAGAGCTCCTGTTACTTTGTTTGATCCAAAGCACGTCTTGAGTCACCTATGAACAGTAACCAAGGCTGCATCTTTTTAAAAGACAATTTGCTTGGCCCATACTAGCTTTGTTTGGTGAGGGTAATTCATTTATTAACAATATTAAGCAAACAAATTGGACCTAGCACTTTATAGATTTGTTCTTTGTTTCACTTGTTACATTTAGTAGCTTTACTGTACCCATCGAAGAGCTAATTGAAGCTTCATGAGGAGGCTAGGGAAATACACTAATAAGCTAGTTTGTGGTCACTTATTATTGATGCTTATCTATTTCGGGGGTCTATATTTTTTTAAACTGGACTCATAGTTTAAGCTCAAATCAGTAAGAGTCAGAGCCAGAGAGTGGCTGGTAAAATGGTGGTTTGTTTGCATCCACCTCATGATCCATGTCCTCTACCAAATCCCATTCTGAATTCTGAATCTAGACATCACCAGCTTCCTCCTTTTGCCGACTAGCATCTGAGCAGGACTCCACAGTGGAGCTTCATAGGAATTTTGGAAAGTCTCAATACAGCCGGCAGTTTTAGGGCTCTAGCACCTTAGAGATCTAAGGACTGTGTCAGATTCTGTCATGACGAGTGGGCTGTGTTTCCAGATCTTCTGCTGGAGTTCATGGGGCACATTTTGCCATACTGTTAACTGGTCAGCATTTCTGAAGCATGAATCAACTCCATCAGAATCACTATCATTTTTGTATTATTATTATGAATGGAATCTTGAGTCTTTTCAAACTTCCAGTGGCCTGGTCTGAGGCAAGGAAGGGGGAAGCCCAAAGAAGAGAGAAAAATCCCCTGGAGTGATTTTACAGAAGGACTTCTTCATTGTTCAGATTTCTTAGAACAGTGGCCTTAAAACATCATTAATCAAGTCCAATAAAACCTCTATAAAATTTTATGTAGCAGCTGACTATACCTAAAAGATTCTTCTCATCGTGTGGCCAGGGAGAACCTGGTCCTGACTGTGAATATGCTCTTAGGAATCTTGTCAGGCTCAAATGAAAGCTAGTTCATCCAGGACACTAACTGCGATTTTAATTGGTTACCCTCCTGAAAGCTAAATATTCAGTGTTTTCTTTAAAGGTGATGGTTCAACTGTCCCCTGGCTGTCTGCTCAGGGGTAGAAATGGGGTTTCTTGAGACCATCAAGGTTCAGCTGAAAATGTCTGCCCATAGGCCTTCTTCAGTCTGGGAGAGTTCCCAATCTCTTCCCTAGAGTTTTATGCAATAAGAGTTGCTGAAGGGATTGCTTATAGAATTCGCTTATAAACTTTGCGGTCACCTGACTTGCAGGCACCATGGAACCCTGACAGTTATTTCACCTCCTATTCTTATTTTATATCTTCAAATTTAATAACTAGATAGAATTAAAATAAAATAACCACTCTAAGTAATAAAAGAAACTGTGGGATGTTTTAGAGAAGCCCTGTGTGACTTCAGACCAGAAAGGACATGGCTTAGCTAGTGATGTCAGTTTCCCAGCTAGCCAACCCAAGTCAAGTAAAGTTACCCGGTGGAGAGCAGAGTACACATCTGGACCATGTCACAGATAGACTCTAATAAGTAAGATCTTATTCATGTATTTTTTATTGGATATTTTATTTACATTTCAGATGTTATCCCCTTCCCCCATCCCCCCGCCCAGGAACCCCCCATCTTATTGCCCCTCCTCCTGCTTCTATGAGGATTATTCATGTATTTTTCTGCCTTATTTAAGTTTTTTTCCAGTTCATTTTAAAAGCAAATAACATTTAGAACTGATATCTTAAAATATGTCAATCTATTTTTACTTATAATAATTCCTACTTCTTCAAAATAGCAAGTAGATGAGATATGAAATCTTTTATGGGAGAATAGCTACAAATGGTGAGAGTTTGAGAATGATTTATAATCATAATTAACAAAAGTTTGCTTTCCTGTGTATTATCTCTCCCTGTATAAACAAGCTCTTTCAAGGGCAGGATTTCTGTGGAACCATTTTAAATTGTCCCCTCTCCTTCCTAACAATCTGTCTTGCATAAAAAAGCCCCACCAAGAGAGCTGACAGAGGAAGAAAAACAGCAGATCCTGCACTCAGAGGAATTCCTCATCTTCTTCGACCGAACAATCCGAGTGATTGAAAGAGCTCTAGCTGAGGACTCTGACATCTTTTTTGACTACAGCGGCCGAGAGCTGGAGGAGAAAGATGGGTTCGTTGCTTATATACATTTTGAAAAACACTGTGTGATAAATTGTTGCTTCTATTGTCTTAATGTTCTTTCTTAGGATGTGGGGTCTCTCTATGCTGCCCAAGCCGTTCCTGTACTGGACTCAAGTGATGGACTAGGCTCAGCTTCTCCAGTGCTTAGTCCGGATGCTAGTCCAGCTTACCTCACTGATTTTAAATACATTTATGCATTTACTAAGCAAACCCAAAGTCTAGCAAATGAGAGGAATATGGAATTCCAGGACTGATCTTACTAAACAGCTTTGACTGGGGGCTTTTATTATAACTTCTGGCTTAGCATTTCCCTGCAATTATCGTGTGCCCCTATGAAATTCTTTTGAACTTTAAATCAGCAGTCCGGGTCAGGTGATAGAGACGAACAGAGTGACACACATTGTCCTTTGAGAAGACATTCTCCTGTGCAGCTGGGGAAGATCTATAGCAGATCTGCTAGATTGATTCTTGCTGGCTAAGCAAACAGGAAGCTGGAAAAATAAACAAGAGCTATATAGGGTAACAAGAGAGGTGAGAAACAATCCGGACCGTGTATCTTCTTTTTAGTCCTATAAGGTTGTGTATGTTGCATGCACATATGTACATTATAGGAAACATGTACGGCAAAGAGACATTTACAGAGAAAACAAGCAAAATCTATCCAAAGAGATTGGAGAAGGAGGAGTCCATATGACTTTCTCTGTATTTGTGACGTATGTATTAGAAAGGACAGGAGCTACCAGCCATCCCCATGGGCTATCGGGTTCCGCTTTATGAGACTCATAAGAAGCAGACATAGTTGGATTGTTCCTATATATTTCTTTTGTCTGGGAACAATGTGTGAAGGTAGGGTCACCTGCTTTTTGCATCAAATTTGATTTTTTAAACTATGTCTAAAATTCAAATTCATTCATAAAGGAAAAAGTGATATCCATATTGAAAAGAACGTAGCAGAGGCATGGTAATTATTTAATTTCATGGGGCGTTTTGAAAACATTCTCAACAGTTTGGCATCGTTAAAATGCACAGAGGAGATAAGAAGCCTGAATTTGCATGCTCTACCAATGTTTGGCTTCTTTTTAAAAAAAAAAAAAAAAAAAAACATTTCTAGTGGCTCAATTGATTTTAATGCTCTCCCCTTCCTATCTGAGTACACGGCCCACTACTGTACTGCTTTTCTAACAGAACTGAGTTGCATTCATCTTACCTGTAGTGCTAGAGCTGCATAGAATTAGTGGGGCTCTAAGAGCCAAGGAGTGGACACAGAGATCATGCTATGTCAGCTCACCAGAACTTAGATATTCTCTGAAGCCGGGGTACTCATTCTGAGCATGAGCTACCGAGGTGAATGATACTGATGTAACGTAGTTGGCTAGAGTGACTGGAAGAAGGGTGACTGTAGACAGACTCCTGGATTGAGTGAGATCGAAGCAGTTTAGGCAGATTCTTTTGCGCTGGCACAGAACAGGCATTTAAGCATATCAGGCCCTTGAAGGAACTGAATGACCAGTGCAGAGTTCTTTGAAAATATTACCAAGGTCAGTTGAATGTTAGCCAAATAAACACTGGCCAACTTGCAATCAGTCCTCTGAGACACAGTGCTCCTTTGGTCAATGACAGACTTGTGATTCCCCGGATCTCCACCATCCCTGTCTCACAGCAGAAATGATCACCTACTGTTCCTCAAGGAGGCAGCCACTAAGGCCAATCACAATTCACAGATAGAAACATGGATATCATTTGGGGAATCTGACAGTGTAGAAGGTATTGATAACAAGAAACTCCCTTCATTTCATGCCCCTTTAATAGCAGAGAGGTTTAAATATTTCAGTTTAGTCTTAGTGTGTGTATAGCGTGGATACTCAAGTGAAAGTGAGAGGGCTAGCCTTGGGAGTCAGGTTCTCCTTCTACCATAGTATCAGGGAACTGAGCTTGGGATATTCAGACCTGCACAAGTATTTTTATCTGCTGAGCACTCTTGCTGGCTGAGGGAAATTTTTAATAACCCTGCTTCAGGCTAGAGCCAAGTAGAGGGAAGAAAATATTTCAAGACTGACTAAGATAAGCTGAAACAAATTTGACATTTTACAGCAGGCTCAGAACCAATGCAGAAAGCTTTTCTGAGCCTTTAGAAAGAGCTCTCCATAAAGGAGAATATATTTAATTCATTTACTCATGATCATGTGCTCCTGTCTAGACACAACTCTGTTCTGGAACCTTGCTTTTACCTCTGTTACTTAACCTACCATAGGGATGTACAGGCTGGAGCCAACCTTTCTTTCAACCGTCAGTTCTACGATGAGCATTGGTCCAAGCATCGGGTGGTCACTTGTATGGACTGGTCTCTCCAGGTAAGAATTAGTGCTGACAGGACAAACTTGACATGTGTTTAAATATTTGTTCTCCTATTTTGGATATACTTATTAATCTATGACTCTCTGCCCACTGATGTTTGTTCACATTTTTCAGAAGTTTGGGGGTTAATTATCCATTCAGATATTATTAATTAATACGCTCCTGGAAACAAACAAGCAGCCAGACCATTCTGTGCAGGAAGCTTTTCTAAGCGTAGTCACTGTTGGTTTCCTACTGATCGACTTGATGAATGAACAACCCAACCTGTTGACTATCCATGAGTCACTATGCCCCGGACTGAGCAACTAAGTAATGCATAAAAGCACACAATTAAGTTGTGGCGAAGTCAGCATTTGAATGCATGTGGTTTGAGTTTTGAGCTCCTGCATTTGTTTTTATCTGTATCACTGACATAACAAGCGCTATAGCAACTACCTTGAAAGTGACGTCTTATTTCACCATCAAGGAAATTATAGGAAGCAGTCATTGTCAAGATTTGCATGCTGTAGCTGAAGAAACTGTAGCTCAATAGATGCTAAGTAACTTTCTAACCTTCACACAGTTAGGGTACAGAAGAGCAGATCTCAAGCCTTGCTATGCTCTACTGCATGGGTTTTAACTGCTTCTCCCCTTAGGAAACTGCTTATGAAGCTGAAACCAGAAGCGCTTAAGAATGAGAAGTGATGTAGACAGACAGCAAGTATTGCTTAAGAGTAGAGTGTAAGAGGGGATCACTCTCTGGTCACATCTCAGAAGACTGATCTAGGCAAATGGGGTTATAACAAGAGTCTCATTTAATCTCCTTGGGAATTGAGGGGGAGTGTGATCCCCATAACTGTCTGGTCGGCAGCTACTAATTAGATGGGGGTCCTCTGCTCTTGCACCCTCTTTGACATCCAAACAACAGAGCACAGAGAACATGACCATAGAAAGACTAAGACAGTCAAGCTCGCCCAGTCTCTCTGCAGTGTGTGGGTGGTCTGTGTGCATGTCCTGGTGTACAGAGAAATTAGATCCAAGCCCCAGAAAACACTTAGCTTGGAGTGTTCACTTATTCATGGTCTGGAATCACGCAGGATCTTTATCTGACACATACCCCAACCAAGGCAACTGTTAGTGGTTCTGAGCTAACCCTCCCTGAAGAGACTATGGGCTACCAGCAGTGGGGCCGGTCCCACTGAGCCCCATGTGTGCTTGCATGGATTTGTTTCCACAAAAGTTCCTTCCCATGTGACATTTGTGTCAAAGGAAGTAAAACTGGAAAGCATAGAAATGTTTCTATGGACTCTTCTCTCTCTCTCTCTCTCTCTCTCTCTCTCTCTCTCTCTCTCTCTCTCCCCCTCTCTCCCCTCCCCCCTCTGCCTGTCTACACTGTGGGAATTGATGTGAAATTGTAAGATATGCATTTTGCAGAGATTTTTTTTAAAAACTAGAATCCGTAAAATTCTGTGTCATACTTTTGTGGGTTCAAAGAACCAGCTTTTCGTGCTTCTGAGACGAAGAGACACTCTGAATTGAAGTAGACACACTTAGGCAAACTAAGACAAAAAAAAGAAGGACGTGACACAGGCTACAGTGTAATGGCAGCAGGTATGCCTTGGAGTTTCCTGTGGGAAACAAAATGGAGCTGCAGGAAGAAAAGGAAAGAAATGTGAGAGAATTCTGTGTAATATTCTGAATTAAGTAGGCAATAACACAATACATGCAAAATATCATATAAACACTACTCTCACAAAAAAGTCTGGGTACCCAACACTCTGTCACCTCTTCCATCTACTCAACAATGTTTAGCACAAGAATACTATCAACAGCCCATGTGTCAGAGTGTGAATAAAATCACACAGTAGGTATGTAACCCTCTCCTATTTAAAAGGCACCCTTCAATCTTCTAGCTGCATAAGACACTAACCTGAATAATCTTCAAAAAACTTGTCTAATTAGGAATTCAGTCAGGTTTAGAGAAGCAAAAGAGAGTCTCTACTGGTGCTAATTCAAGATTAACACTCGGAGCTGCAAGCACTTCGTGCTGTGTTCTCTTTCTTGCCTAGCTTAGAAAACAGAGTCCTTGCTGGCCGCTCAATACCTACTCTCTGCATATAGAATTATCATCAGCATTTTTATCATCTGTGATTAATTATATATTTTTATTGAACAATTTATTTTTTGTATTATCTCCTTCTCTTTCCTCCCCTTGACTACTTCCACGTGTCGCCATAACTTATTCCCTCTCAAATTGACATCCTTTTTCTTTATCATTGTTATATATGTATATTATGTACATATGTATATGTAAGTATGCATATGCACATATATATGTAAATATATACATATATACACATGTGTATACATATATGCATGTGTACACACATATACACTTTGTACATATATGTACATCTGTATATATATATACACATATACACATATACATGTATATATATACATGTATACACATATATACAACTGATCATGGGATGCCTAGATCCAGATGAATCATCTACAACACAGCACTGGCATCTAAAGCTCGGGAGATCTTGAGTAAGAGGGGTAAGAGTCAGAGGACCAGAAAATGAGGATGTGTCTCCTAGAAATGACAGGAAAGGTACACACATTGTCATGTGTGTACCATGACACGCATATTTTGACCAGGCATGAGTGTTTTTATAATGGTTCAATCTTCTGTAAAGAGAGGCTTCTTTGATGAGATGTGAGAGCTACATTTGTTTGTGGGTATATAAAGGTAAGTATCTGGAATGAAATTGGGAACAAAGTTGGATTAGTAACACAGCAGTAGACAACTCTTTAGGATGCATGATCTCACTAGCCCTGGGAAGCTGGCTATGTTTCTGATACCAAGCATGATTTGCCCCCTGTAAGTGTGCCTTAAGTCCAATTAGACAGCTTTTGGTTACAGCTGAGATATGAGTGTCACTACTGCCCTTTAGGGATATCTTGCCTTATTGGTCATTGTTATGATTCCTAGACATCACAGCTTGGACAAACTATGGCTGTTTCCCTTCCGTATGATTTAATCTTGGTTTTACAACTGAATTGTGTTCCATTGTATATACAACATTTTCATTATACATTCATCAACAGAAGGATATTTAGATTGTTTATGCTCCATAACTATTGTGAACAAGGCAGCAGTGAACATGAATAAGCAGGTATCTGTGGAATAGGATGCCCATTCCTTTAGGCATATGCCAAGGAGTGGTGTAGCTTAAACATATGGTAGCTTTATTTTTAGTCTTTTGAGACTTGTTGCCAATTTTGCTTCTCAAATGTCCTTCCCAGCTGTCTCACTGAAATATCCACCCCTACTGAAAGTCTCTTTTTCTGTCTTCATCCTCAGCACATGCCCATGCTTCTACAAAATTTTGTGATACCTCCCTCCTAGCACACTTTTTTTGCTTTACTGTTTGAGCTGATGTTATTCCTACACACATCATGTTTCCCACTAGCCAAGGGTGGGCTCCTATAGACCAGAAATGTTAACATGAATATTCTTGTCCCATGTTGTACTTGATGCCACATTTTATTTATGCAATGGATACAATGCCACAGTAGACATACAGGGACAGTCATAGTTTGTCCAAGCTTTGAGCCCAACTGACTTCCACAGGTTTTCTCACATTGTCATTCATGAGCAGTACGACTTAGAAAATGTCACTTACCTAAGGATTCATCTTCTTTGCCTGTAGAAATGAGTAAACCATTATCTTCTTTATATAGACCCGAGTGACAAGTGAGTTATGACAGTGCCCAGATCAGTAGCTAGAACACAAGGTCCACTTAAAGCATGCTCGCTCTATTGTCTCCGAAAAATACTAGATTTCATTTTTCCTGAAGATCTAACTGGACTTGAGAGTAAAGTTAGTAATTTCTGGGTAAAATTTGTCTAAATTAAATATAGGATAATCTAGTCCTTATGTGTAATTAGGTGACCAGAAAGTTTACAATTGTTCAAAAGTATAATTTTAAACATTTAAATTTTCATAATTGCTTGGAAGCCTGATAATGAGTAAACATGACTAGATATGCTCAAACAAATATTGTTTTAAAGGAAGTACAAGAAGACACTTTGAAATTATACCAGTCTGCATTAGATAAGATACAAGGCAGTCCCTTTACACCTTGTAATTCCCCTTATAGAAAACTTTGCCAAAGGCATTTTCCTGGAGTTTTCGCTAACACACAGCCTGTTTGCTAAAGAAACTTGAAAGCCAAGCAAGTTAAAATATTTTTAGACGGGGGTGGGGGTGAGGCAGGAGAATGAAAAGAAAAGCTGCAAGTGGGTGTGAACGATGAGACCCAGATGTGAAGCTGTGGGATGCTATTCCAGACACATCTGGCTGCTCTCTGGCCCCTGCGGTAGTGGTGTCAGTGTTTATAGACTTGCCTTTTCACATGTGACATAGTTAAACTTCAGATGGACAGTCTGGAGACTTCTGTGTTTATCTGGATGTTAGTTTCATTGAACGGGCTCCGAATCAAAGGCCTTGCTTAATAGGCTTTGATTCATCTGCTAAGGAGCATTTTCTAATGAAGGATGATGACTTCCCATGGTGGTCACATCCATGTGTGCTACAGTATGCCTCTTTAGTAACCAGTAAGCTGTAACTCTCTGTAGTTGAAAGAATGAATGAGTCACATTGAAGACTTAGATTTAGTTATGGTTCATATGAAGGAAAAGCCAAAGTTCACGTTTATATTAAGCATTGTTCAGTCTGAATATATACATAGTAGTGCAAACAGGAAGAGAAAACTAGATAATATGTAAGAAGAGGTTTATACGAGCATTAATAAGTCTGGTGTGTAACAGAGCCACTCATGTGCAGGCCAGGTACAAATGGCATTTGTGTGAAATGTGTCCTAACTTGGAAATTGCTCATGAGACTCCTTATCTATTTCAGGACCAAGTTCATGAAAGGTGAAAGGTGTTTTCTGTATCTCCTTAAAGCCTTCCTTTTTAGTGCATGACTATGCTTCTTACATTTAAGCATTTAATTATTGTGGTGTTTGATAACAAAGGAATCAATATTTGTGCTGATCACAAAGTTGCTGAAATAAAAGAGACTTTCTAAGACAAAATGATAAATTATTAAATAAACTTTTTATCTTAACACATTATATGTCTGGGTTTGTTAAACTATGAGTTCAGAGAGAAAACAACAAAATAACATCAAGAAAACCCTAGTCCTAATACTCAAGGACCTTATGATTTAGGGAAAGGCACAGTGAGAAAAGCACATAATGCAACTGAACTAGTGTTTTAACAGAGTCATAGAAACAAGGATGCTAAGAGTCAGGGAAGGGATAAATGGTTAGGACTATCTAGAGGGCTTGCTATCCTTATTCAGTCTCAAATGTAGCTTATGAGGTAAACAACACAGAAGGGGCTTCCAGTTTGCATGTGATCAGAATCATAGGTACAGAGGTAGTAGCTGTGTGATTCATGGTTAGCTGGTAAGTCTGGGTAGAGTATGTTTAAGAGTGAAAGAAAAAGCCATAACACATTAAACAGAAGCAATAGAGAAAGGCAGGCTGAAAAGGATTCAAGACTTGGATCATTCCCTTGAAGGCCATGATGAGCCATTAATTGTCACCCTGAGGGTAGCTTACCAAATACATGCTTTACAAGGTCATCCTGACAAAGGTTGGAGTAGGAAGGAGGTGGGCACGGGCTACGAAAAGCCTGATATGATTGTGTCATTTTTATCTCTGAACTATGGTTTGATAAATCCCAGCCTATGAGAACAGGCAGCAAGTCTGATACCTTCATCAGACAAGAGGTTAATTTTAGTGTTTCTGCCCTAAAGAATGAAAACAAAATGTAAATTCAAAATGCATGTAGTACGTTGTAATAAACAGCAATTGGGGAAGTAAAAAAGAACCATGGAAAGAAGGAAACAGACTTCTGGGTTTGTCCACTTCGGTGAATATCATGTATAAGGCACAAACTTAGGGGAATACTGGGGGTGCAGTAAGCTTTGTGGGAAAGTCTATTGAGTATATATTCTATGCGTTCCTTCTGGTATTGATAAGTATTTGTTCATCCTGATCAAATCTCAGTGGGCAGTCAAATATAATACATATACCTCTGAGAAATATCAAGCCTAGACTATTTGAAAATTATCATCATAGTAGGCTTACAAAAACCACTGGCATCTACAGGATAACCTGACAAGAAGGTAAAAATAAAAGGAAAAAAATAAGAAGAAAAAGAATAGCCCTGTCTGGGAATGTATGTAACAAAAGGAAAATCTGCATGAGTTTTACAAAGCAGCCAAGAAAGAAAATCAGAACAGAAAGTTGTCATGGAAACCAATATAGAAGAAAGAAGAGGGTAGCCCAAAGTGATTGATTCTGTAGGATCTGAGCATGTTTCCAGTTTAGTGACCATGCATGCACACAGAAAAATGAGAGACAGAAAGCAGGGTGTGTTAATTTGATAGTAAATGTGTCAAATCTTAAAAAGATAGGACCACTTGAAATGTGTAACACAGCACAGAAATGTAGAAGGAAAAATTCTTTATGAGCCAGCTGTGGTGGTGCACACTGATAGACTATACCGTAGACATGGATGGATAAGGTCTTGAGAAAATTCCTATGCTGTCATCTTAATGTAACAAATCCTTGTAACTCTTTCACGTAGTACCCTGAGCTGATGGTTGCTTCTTATAGCAACAACGAAGACGCTCCCCATGAACCAGATGGAGTGGCCTTGGTTTGGAACATGAAGTTTAAGAAAACCACACCAGAATATGTCTTCCACTGTCAGGTACGAGTCAGCAAAGTAAAAATCATTCCTATCTCTTACCACGCCGAACACAGTTCAAGCTGTCCTGCATCTGTCTTGGGTTGGGAAGAAGAACTGGGTTTAAAAATGGAATTGTTGACAATTTTGGAAAATTTCCCCCACAGTAACCTAATGTTTTTGGAAAGTGGCAGCCCTGCTGAAATGGTTAGGAAGCCTGGTTGGGAACTGTGTGTCATTTTCTTTCTATTTAAAACAGTCCCCATGAGGATGAGTTTATAAAGACCTCACACTTATGAAGAAATTGTGGTGTGCCACTTCCTCTGCTTAGGGGCAGCATATGCTAGCCCACCCATGTGGGCACCCTGAAAGCATTACCAGCCGATTCCCTCCTGTCTTGGAAACACACTTCTGTGGATATTGCCGTTTCTAAGGCTGTAGGTACCATATTGTTTTAGAGATAATGATGCTTTTGAAGCTGAGTTGGGGGACGCTTTACCACCAACATTACTTGGATTGTTGAGAAAGGTAGATGTGGTTTCTACTTTGCAAGTGCAGATTCTATCAGAGAGTTGGGGGTGTTTTACTCCTTGATTCTAATGACATGTGACTTCTCTTCTGTTTGACTCGCTGGCCCTGAAATTAGACCACACTTGCATGCATCCAGCTTTGTTCTGTTGCTACGACTTTGCCCAAATGATAGGCAAACTTTGCCTTGGTGCTAGCCAGTATATCAACCGCTTTATTGATGAGATTTCGAGTAGGAAAATGGAAAGCATGCATTCTACCTCAAAATTTCAGTTCCTCAAATATTAGAATTAGGAGGCTCCGAGAACTCCTCTGAATACACACATCTGAAGAGATTGGGAGGCAAATCTGCTCGCCTCATCGTAGGAAGCTTTGTGCCATGTTATATCTAAGACCCGAGTATCTTTTTGAACTGAAATATGTTTACGCTTTAGAGCATTATCAGATCTAATTTGAGGAACAGGAGGTGCTGGTATGAAAGGCCTAGCTTCAACGTGATTGAGTAACCGCTAACTCTGCCCATGTTTTTCTAATTTGCTATCTCACAAACAACTTAACAAGAAGTCTAGGCCTCCATAGTAAATAACCTTTATTTTCTGAACCTTTGAAATGAGAACAGGTTTTTTTCTTGTTCCCTTCTCTCTCTCTCTCTCTCTCTCTCTCTCTCTCTCTCTCTCTCTCTCTCCCTCTTTCCTTTTAAGATTATCAAGTTTGTCAGCCTGATAGTCTCTTTTTGTAAACATAGAAGCACAAAATTCTAATTCCGTTCAGTTTTAAGGGTTTGCTGAATTGCCAAGAAAATACTATAAGGCTTATGGGATAAGGAGAAGCACATTTTTGAAAGCCAGGGCCTTTTAAACTGTTTTGATATACAGAAAGCATATCTTTAATTTTAAAACTCCAAGAAGTAGCCCATGTTGTTTCAGTCAATGCTTATGATGTTTATCATAACTTAAAGTTTTCTAATTATATTAACTGAGTACTGGTGGCCTGTGGCAGTAACAGATAAAATGGTTAATACTCACAATATTATACAGTAAACAAGCCTGTAGGATCATGATAACACTGAGAAGACCAAGTCTTTGAAATTATCAGAATCTTTTTAATTATTTGTTTTGTCATGTCACAAAGCTAATACCATCACTGACTGAGCCAAGCATCCTTTCTTCCTTCTCATGGTGGCTTGGGTATCATTTACTAAAGACTTAAATGATTCCTGAGTTTTAGTTTTAGTTTCTCATTTAGATGATCCAATATATGTGTTTTAGAAGAGAATGTGGTCCTAATTTTATTTTATTTTATTTTATTAAAATCCAGAAATTATATGAATAAGCAAGATAAAGTCACATAAAAGATATTGAGTAAAACTTCTTCATCTTGGTGCTAGAGAGTTGGCTCAGAGGTGAAGGGCATTTGCTATTCCTGCAATAGGATCCTAGTTCAAGTCCCAGCACCCACATGGCAGCTCACCACTCTCTTAGGCACCAGGCATGCATGTGGATATACAGATGATTAAAGCACTCATGCACACAAAATAAAGTAAATTGAATAGTAAATAAATAGATAAATAAATAAATAAATAAATAAATAAATAAATGTAATATATTCTTAGGGGGAAAAACCAAACAAAACCAAAGAATAAAACATATCTTTTCATTTCCTAAATTGCCCCCTACTGTCCTTAATTCATCAGGGGACCAGAAACAGAAATGGGGATTTTAAGCTCTATCTGCTATCCTCTGGGATATTTGGGATTCTACCCAAACTGGGTAATTTGATCATCATACTGGTGCTGAAGACCATTAAGACTCTAGAACTTCAGATATCAAGATAAAGCTATTTAATTTAGCTACATGTGCAGCTGAAGAGATCTAATAGCAGAGCTATGCTCTCATATAAAATAGGCAGCTCATGTATGTGACCTAGACATTCATAAGACTCATTTAGAAAATCATGTTTTTAAAAACATCTGAACTGCAGAATGCACTATACTGTCTAGTGTGTGCCGTTGTTATCATCTCTTAAGAATTCTAACTAAAGCAACTGCAGGGACCAAACTGCCAAAAGGTGAAAGGAATGAGCTCTGAGCCCTTGAAAGGAAGGAGAGAATGAGAGACATGATAGTCCTTTCTCTACATCCCCTAGTTCTGTATGCATGCAGTTAACTCACTGTGGCCTGAGAATATCTGAAAATAAACCATCTCTACTAAACACACACATAGTTTGTGTCATTTTTCTCTGAGGAATACAGCAATAAGATGTATGCCATTTGCATTGCCTAAGTTATTGCAAATAGTCTAGAGAATGCTTTAAGCACACAGGGAGATAGTACAAGTTACATGCACATATTGCACCCTTTTCTGTAAAGATTGGTGCATTTGCAGATACTTAAATGAAGGGAGGTCCTGAAACCAGCCTCCCCACCCACCAAGAATACTGAGGCACCACACTGTGGAATCCTTCTAAAGACTCCAAGATGTATTAGGTGGAGTTTTGTTGTTTTTATTTTCATAGCAAAATAGAACCAATGGAAAAATATATCCGATATTCAAGAGATAAGGGTATCCTTTGAAAGGAGAAAGGAGAAGAAGAAGAAGAAGAAGAAGAAGGAGGAGGAGGAGGAGGAGGAGGAGGAGGAGGAGGAAGAGAGAGAGAGAGAGAGAGAGAGAGAGAGAGAGAGAGAGAGAGACTTTTAAATAATTTTGTTCATGAATTTGAAGGGTGAGCAAGCCTAGAATATGTAGAGCTGGCAAGAGGGTAGAAGTTTAGGTCATGGTGGATGCTGTGGTCCTGAGGCTGAAGTCTGTAGGCCAGTAAGCCAGAACCTCCATGCTGCCACCAACAGAGTCAATTCTTCTTCAGGGAACTCCAGCTTCCTCTCTGAAGCCTTCCTGTCTTCAGTAGAGTAGATGAAGCCTCTGCCTTTCCCATTACAGAGGATAATTTGCTTTACTCAAAGTTTACTGGTTTATGTCTTAATCGTCTCTAAAACATATTTTCCACTGACATCTAGACTACTTTTTAATACATAAACTGGGTACCACAGGGTAGCTAAGTTGACATAAAGTTAATACTTTGATTTCATCCAAAGCAATCCAGGAAACTAGCATCTTCCATAGCTTCTAAAGTCAAGCTAGTGACGGGTCACTTTGGGATAGTAAGCAGGTAAGTTCCTCCGGGAAGCTTACCTTGAAAAGGATATGAGCATCCCTTGCAGATGACCATACACATATTTGAGATTGTGGGGACCATGTCTACGGTACTAAATCTGTTCACATGTGCAAATGTTGAGAATGTATTCTTTACATTTGTTACCATAAGCTCTCAGTGGCTGCAGACTAGAAACTGGCACCCAAGACTGATGAAACAAGATAAGTACCCATGGACGGAACAGCTATGTTGAAATTAGTTGACATCCCCCCCCCCGAAACAACAGCCTGGATCATTCTGTACTAGTAAGTGTTGCAACCACATGTAGGTACGTGACCTTCTACAGTGGAGAGAGGAGGGTGAATATGGAAGAAATGAAGCAAGCTGAGCCTTTCCCTTGGCTGACTGTTACAGCCACCTGGGTGACTTTAAAATGACTGATCCCTGGGTTCCATCCTCAAAATTACCTCAAGAATTCTTGAGTTCCCTTGGGTTCTATTCTGAGAAATCCTGGTATAGTTTGTCTGGTGTCAATTGGCCAGCATTAGACCTAGATCAGATTGTCAAAGCTTTCTGCCTGGCATCCTGGCACTCATAAGCTATTGGATTATTATAATTTTCTAATCTGACAGGGAAATTTGAAGAGCCCAACAGAATTCAAATTAATGTGAGAAACCCAGCTTGGTAGGACACTCCTACGATCTAGCACTCTGACTCTATGTGGGTAATGAGGGTACATCTTTTTTTTTTCTTTTTTAGTTCCAAGCCAGCCAGTGCTACAAAACAAACAAAAGTCACATATATCTGAGAAAGCAAATGCCCTCCCTTGCAATTTATGACTTCTGTCCCTTTCTGACCTTTGACAAATTTCATCTGTTAAAGTCCGTACTTTCGGGATGCTAGCTCACCAAGAGCTCACCAAGAGCAAATCGGTTGAATCCTCGCTCACCTGTGGCGTTCCAGTAATTTAAAGATTAGATGAGCAGTTTGCTTGCAAAGACAGGGGGCTGGGAGTAGAAAAAGGCTAGGGTGTTTTACTGTGATAATACTTCCCTCCTTGTAGCCCAAGATTTCTTGTAAATATCCATTGATCCTTCCTATGCTGCCACTACATAATTGCAAACAAATCCGGTGTGGCTCATAAAACTATTGTTTCAGGAAACAAGCTTCTATTCGTCTTCCTTCTGCAAGGCCTGATGAGCTTTTGGCCTCATCATGCAAAGCTTTCCAATGGAGGCTTGTTTTTTCTGTTGTGAGTAGGAAGGCCAAATACTTTCTCCCTCCATGGGCAGCTTCATGTGTCTGCTACACTAAATTTTTCGTGTGGGCACTGGGCCTGCATTTTC